TGAACCTTATGATGAATATATGAGAATTCATTAATGATTCTATTTATGTACACATTTGAAAAATTCTATTATCAGTTATTAAAATAAATTATCTTACGTATGTTTAGTACACATGGAGGTCCTGGGTTTGAAAATTATTGGTTCTGACTTATGAAGCAGTTAGAGAGGTGGGGTACAGTGGTTCATGCCTGCAATTCCAGCACTTTGGGAGGCCAAGGCAGGAGGATGGCTCAAGGCCAAGGGTTCAAGACCAGCCTAAGCAACATAGTGAGACTCTTCTCTTCAAAATATACAAAAAATTAGCTGAGTGTGGTGGTGCATGCCTGTAATCTCTGGTACTCAGGAGGCTGAGACAGAAGGACCACTTGAGCTCAGGAATTTGAGGTTGCAGCAAGCTATGGTGATGCCGCTACCCTGTAACCTGAGCCACCAAGTGAGATTCTGTCTCCAAAAAAGAAACAACAATAAAACAAAACCCAAAACAAACAAACCAGGTAGAGAGGGGGATAAAATATGAGATAGAGATTATTTGTTGAGAATCAGCTATGGTACTGACAGGATGCTATGAGCTTGATGAGTGTCTTTTACAAAAAAATCTTTATGACAACTTATTGAGGTGGTTATTGTGATTCATAATTTCCAGATGGAAGATCAGGACCTTAGAGACTTTGATTACAGATAGCAAAGAGCAGTCCCGGAATGTGACCCTTGCTTGAGTCCTATCCTTGGGTGAGTGCCATTATTGACACGTGTATCACATGCTCACATTGCGAAGTAGACAATACCACTAATGAAAGGTCAAGAATTCCCTTATGAACAGCAGATGTTACTAACCTTCAAGGCTCTTAGCCACTACGCTAGCTTTGCCATGCTTCTGTGTGGGAATTCAGGCAGTTTTTCAGCAAGTACAAGATGATGACTGGGGTCTTCCAGGAAAATGGACAGAATAGATAAAAGCACCTAGATAGACTCAGGAGACAGGAAACTTTTAACTTTTATTTTTGCCTAGTATGAGCATATTTTCTGCAAAATAGTATGAGTTAAGTACACTCGAATGGAGATAGGGTATTTAAAATACAATTATGACAATTACAAAAAAAAAATTCTTAACATGAATGTAGAAGAGCAAAGAGCCTGTAAACAAAACAAAAACAAAAATAAATGAATAAGAACAAAATCTCCCCAAGTTCTAGATAGCCTATTCATTTCTTTTCTTTTCCAGGTGGAAGTTTCCTAGAACAACTGTTGGGATAAGTTTCAGAGTCGAAGACAGTTATTTCACCGAGAACATGCATCTGATTCACGGAAGGTCTATGTTCCAGACTGGGCAGCCAAGGCTAAGTATCTTCCTATTTCATTGAGGTCTCAGGAAAATGCAGGCTTTCTGGACATGTAAGGTCACTGCTTAGTGCAGCTGTATTTAATTGGTGTGAGTCCATACACCTCATTTAGGTTTAAAAATAGGTGTTGTCCTGGCCCGTGGTCCCGAGCTGCAAGTATTCCAGAGTACCTTTTTTATAGCTGGCTACCCGTCGTGGTTTTTGGTTTCTTATCCCCGTAGCCTCCCTTTTCTTTAAAGAGTTGGCAATCATGTCTGAAAACTCTGCTTGCAAACGCTGTTGATTCTCCCTGGATATAAGGTGGGGGAAGAGAAAATGAGCTTCTTGGTAATTCATGCAGAATATTCCTTAGCTCCAGAATAATCAGTTCAGTTACGCAGTTACTCTTTGAGTGGCTACTCTGTGCTGGACACCAGAAGTCCAGAGAATATAAAATAATCCTCGCCTTTGGTGAGCTTAAAGAACTGTCATCCCTGCTATGTAGTTGTAGAATAAGCAGAATATATTTCAAGCAGGAAATCAGACGTCAATTTCAAAGGGAAACAACCTGATGTTGGAATTCAGAGGCCTGGTTAGGAGGATCCAGGTTTACACATAGCATTGGAAGAAGGGGCCAGTTGCTGTGGAGGATTCTAACCTGTTGCAAACTCTGAAAGCCCAATTGGCTCCCCCACATAGCTATGAGTGTGGATTTTGTTTGGGGATGATCTACAATAGTAGAGAATTTCAAGAGTTTAGAATGGATTTGGGGCACTTCTAATTAGGGACAAGTTTTCCTGTGCTCCAGGGAATAGCTGGGTGGTTTTGACTCTCTAGAGGCTTGCCTTCTGTCTGGATCTGGCATCTGGGTCTCTCCAAGATAAGGTTTGCAACCATCACAAAAGCCATTCCAAAAGCCGTGACAACAGCCACATGACTGATTGCCACAGCATCTACTGATAGGTAACTGGCCAACAATTTGACTTACCTTAAGAAGAACTGAAACCTGTCAGTCAGACCTGAAACTTTGTCTTCCTCAACTCAGGGAGAGCAAAATCTCTATGGTAAGACCCCAAACTAAACTTGGGCCTAGGGAGTTCCTGTTTTTAGCAGGTGGCTCAGCAGAAAGATGAGGACAGGAGTAGCAATGCAGAAAGCCTCTTTGGCCCCAGGATGTGCTACTCTTGTGAGAACCAGACATGCATGAGGTAAGCTCTAACGTGTCTTCTGTTCTCCTGAGCAAGCCCAGAAAACAATGATAGCTTTGCTGTGCTTCAGTGTGGGGAAACGGAGTCAGTTTTCAAGTAAGGGCAAGATGCATTTACCCGGTGTATTCTGGGAAATTGGGCAGAATGGATAGAAGCACAGACTCAGGAAATTTTAACTGTTATTCTTGCCTGATAAACAGAATGTTTTCTGTAAGAATTGTGAGTTAAGTATACCTTAATGGACATAAGGTATTCAAAGTAAAATTGTGACAGTTAAAAAAATCCTAACATAAATACAGAAGAAAAAAGAACCAATACAAAATGCAAAACAAGAAAACCCAAATAAGTGAAATAAGAACAAATCTCCAGTTCTAGCTGGTCTAGTCATTCCTACTCTTTTCCAGGTGGAAGGTCCCTGGATCAACTGTTGGACTGAGGCTCCAGAGTCAGAGGTAGTTATTTCACTGAGAACAGGTATCTGATTCCCTGAAGAAAGTCCATGTTGCAGACAGGGCAGCCAAGGCTAAGTGCTTTTCTGTTTCATTAAGGTCTCAGGAAAATTCAAGTCGTCAGGGCACTCAGTTTCTAGCAGTCTGAGAAGGGAAGTTCCTAAACCTTCTTATGTGTGTTGCCCTTTGCCTTGCATTCAGTATATCACTGATGCTTGCAAGGAACTTGGCAACATAAATTGGCTCCACAACTTAGGAAGCCCTCACCCTCCCTCTCACACCCTGAGGCTTACACAGTGGGAGGGGTCGGCAGGTTGTATTTCTGGTCCTTCATCCCGGTCAGCCAGTAGGTGATCTCATTGCCTCTTCCCTAGTGAGACAAAAGAGTTATGTACCTCCCACAAAGATAATGAGTACAGTTCTAGCCCACTATCCTACAATGATCCGTTTCCAAGAGATATATTTTACTTCTGTGCTTCTTAGCTGTGCCCATATTTAGGCATGTCACACATTCTTGTTACGACTTGCACTACTTCTAGACAGATCTTGATTTCCCAATGCCATTTGAAAAGCAAGTCTCTCATTCACCAGATGTGCTTTTCTTAAATTAGAGTTTTCTTTTCTTTCTCCCAAGAAACATTTCCAAGTATCATTCTAGCAATATTACAAGAACTCTAACTTTAAAAGGAAGAAAATTCATCTACAATTCTGCTACTCCAACTAATCCAACCAGTTTTTATTGTCTACATTTTCTTCTAGCTCTTTTTACAACAAAGTTGTGCTGCAAAATTTTTGCCACAATTTCCCTACCTTAAGTGTGTAAATTATCAATACAAATGCATCATAATAAACACTCATTAAGTAATATTTGCTGGTCCCACCTGGAGGCTATGTAATGTATGGAAACTTACTAGAAACCCTGTTTTTGCTAATGCTTGTATTTGGAGACAGGAGACTGGATAATTATGTATATTTGCCGGCTGTGTTTGGAATGCAGTAATTCATAAACCACTTATATTTTGGGGAGAATTCTCTGTGGACTTATGGAGGACTCAAAAAGCAAACACAATGTTAGGACGTTTTTCAGGAAAGGAGCTTTTCCAAATTCCAGTCCAAGTGGAAAAGCCAGAAGAATTATGGCTACTGCAGACAGATCGTCTTGCAATCAACAGTTGGCTTCAGACCAGTTGTGAAAAGATTGTAATAACTTTCCGAAAGGAGCCTGAGAACCAACTGGAGACAGTTGCTGGCTTTGGAGGGCAGCTGTTTCAAATGTGAGGAACAGCATGGAAAATCTGGAGTGGTGATTCTCAAACTTCAGTGTGATCACAGTGTTACAAAGATAGATTCCTGATCTGCGCCTGCAGAGTCTCACTTCATAGGCCTGGTGGGTGCCTGAACACCTGCATTTTAACAAGTATCTACATGAGGCCAAGTCAGGGTATGGGGCCACACCTTGTGATTCACTGATCCAGAGCTTCAGACTGGTAAAGCAACTGGCAAGTGAGATGATCTCAGATCACAGCCACACCTCACAGCAAGAGTAGGGAAGTAAGTGAGAAGATGGGGTTTTGATAGAAGTTAAATTAAGTCCTGGATGAGATTGTGGCTCTTAGATTTGGAGGGGGAACTGGGGACAGAACCTGGATACATGTGAAGGAAATAGTGCCAGCATTTTATAACATATTGGTTAGAGTTAAAAATATCAAGAGGGCTCTTTGGAGTAAAGTAAGTTCTGAGTTCACATTCTTCAGTGGTGGCTTCTCCTATAGAGGATGGTGGGTGATCATCACAGGGAGTACAGAAAGGATTCTTCACCTGCATGCTCCTCAGCTTTCCTGGCTAAGTCAAGGGAGGTGGACCCAGTGTGTCTGAGAGCTTGTTCAGCATATTCTCTCCCTGAATTCCTTACCTTTAAGTACGTTTCTCCCCTCACTTCATACAAGAACTGGTGTTCAGTTCTCTTCAGGATGGCGATAGTGGAGCCACTCACATGAATTCTCAAGGCTGAAAATGCAAATAGATAAATAAAAATCTCTTCCATTTTGTAATCTGTTATATGGTCACTTTAGTTTCCTCTTGATTCAGAATATCAAGAACACCTGATCCAAGTATCACACGTCAAGGAGAAACTATTGGCTATTGTAGCAAATGAACACTTAAAAATATTATGGGAAGCAAGGGTCTGGTATCAGCTTTCAGGGGCTGGAGTGACAATGCTTCCCAGTTTCATTCCATAGAGTCTCCTTCCAGCAACAAGTGGTACCTAGGTTTGGATTTGGTTTGCAGTGTCAAGTATGGGAGTTGGAATTGGCTTTGGTTTTGAGTCCCTGTGTTCCAATAAGTAACCGAAGTGTTGAGAGCAAGGTGAAGATTCAGGAGAGAGTTACAGGGTCTTTTTTTTTTTTTTAAAATAAGAGACAGGGTCTCTTTTTGTTGCCCTGGCTGGAATACAGTGGCATCATCATAGCTCACTGCAGCCTCAAATTCCCGGACTCAAAAAATCCCCCTGCCTCAGCCTCCCAAGTAGCTGGGACTACAGGCTAATTTTTAAATTTTTGTAGAGATAGGGTCTTGCTATGTTGCTCAGGCTGGTGTTGAACGATTGGAATCAAGTGATTCTACTCCCTCAACCTCCCAAAATGTTGGACTGTAAGTATGAACCACAGCACCCAGCCCAGGGTCTTGATTTTCTCAATTTTTCTTCTTCTGGAATATTGTTATCCTTTTGACAAACGAGTGGTGAGGGCATTCCCATTCATAGGGTCTACCACCTTTCCTGCCATAGGTGCCTAATAGCCACACCACAAACAATAACAGTAGTAAGAATAATGGCAACTACAAATTGCACGCCTACTGTGTACCACAGAATTGCTATCAATCAATGCTTAATGTGACGTCATCCCAAATCCTTCCAGGAACCCGCCTAGCAAAGTTGGTATCTCATCTGCAAAGACATATCTTCATTTTCTGAAATCTAGACATATCAGGTGACTTCCCCCTCCCCAATTTATGCTGATAGTGATTAGCATCATTAGAATTTTAACCCAAGTGTGTCTGACCCCAATCTTACTCTTTTCTTTATGGAGTGATTTTTCCTATACACACTAGTAGCAGATTGTCAGTAGACTACCAAGA